GGTGTACAGACACCTTCGATAACCAGTTGATTGACCTATCTTCTCCATCCCAATCCGGGCTCCTCCCTTGTTCCTCGTTCCTCCTTGTCTTTCTTCCCGGTATCTGACTTCCTCACTTACCTCAGGGTTTTGGTCACCGTCCCCTGACAAACCTACTTTAAAGCCCTCCTCACTAGGTTTGCAATCCTGCCCGCGAAGATGCTCCTTCCTCTCTTGGTTGGGTGGATCCCGTCTCTTTCTAACAATCCTCATGCCCGGAACAGAGTCCCGTGATCGAAGAAACCAAAGCCCTCTCTGCGTCACCACCTGCGCAACCACGCATTGACTTCCTCAATTCGACGATCCCTACATGGATCTTTTCCTTCAATAAGGAGGATGGACGAGAACATCACTTGCGCTTCAGATTCCTTGATCCTTCTACCCAGCGCTACATAACCTGCTGTGACCTGCTCAAGGTCGTTCTTGGCCGTATCGTTAGTTCCTCCCTTTCCCCTGCCTATCCTTGGGCAACCTGGACTCTTCTGTACCCACGTGACCAGTCGCACCTATTATCCAAGCCGGGATGATGCCATAAGAATGTAAGAACGGCCGTACTGGGTCAGACCGAAGGTCCTTCTAGCCCAGTATCCTGTCTGCCGACAGTGGCCAGCACCAGGTGCCCCAGAGAGGGTGGACCGAAGACAATGATCAAGCGATTTGTCTCCTGCCATCCCTCTCCAGCCTCTGACAAACAGAGGCCAAGGACACCATTTTATCCCCTGGCTAATAGCCTTGTATGGACCTCACCGCCATGCCAGCGAGGCCGCAGCTGGGTTTGTTTAGCAGCCTTCCACATCCTTCCTGCGTCTTCCCCACGATACACACAACTAAGACGCTGATTCGATTTTGCCCCCCGCTTCTGTCTTGTCTCCGTGGTCCCTGCTATTACAGCCCCTGCTCCCACCAGCTTGTGACCTGGCCTCCAGCTCTCCGTGTTTATGACGTACCTGGGGGCTCTGGTCACCTGCCCCCACCAAACCCAGTTTAAAGCCTCCTCGCTTGACACACAAGCCAAAATGAACCTCCAGGTCACAGCTCCCGCTAAGGTGGGCCCCTGCGCCACCGCGCACAAAACATTCTTCCCCCACCACCTCCACTTGTACAGCAGCTGGGTGCTCCGGCAGGAGGGGACAGCTGAGACGGTGTGGTGAGGGATCCGCTGACCCACCTGCTCTGGAGACCTGCCGTGACCACATGGTGGAGAGGGGGAGGGGCCTGATCTGGTGGCTGGGGCCGGGAACAGGACCTGCCACATGGTGGGAGGCAGGGTGGAGTTTCTGCACTGCTGGCCGGGAACGTCTCTGTGTGAAAAACTTGGGTGCCACGGTGGCAAACGTCCAAACCAGCGCCCATGACCTCAATATTGGTGCACAAGCCAAAACGCACTGTGCTCCTGGCTGGAAAATTTTAGAAGGAACCCTGTTCCTGGGGTACATTTTGGCTTTGATGAACATGCATCCGATATTACAGAGTGTCAGATATTCTAGCTTCAGCCCTAACGGCGAATGGCACAACCAACCGAGGTACAGCCAAAAAACGTGCAATGTTCCCATCTCCAGCTCTGGGGTGGAGGGGCATTGAAACCAGTCACTTCACTGTCACCCTTGTAAGCGGTTCCTTCCCCAGGAGAAATTCTCCCGACTACCCGCGCGGAGCTCACCACACACTGCCTGGGCTGCAGGGAGTCGGGTCGCTTTGCAGGGGGGCTTTGTGGGACACAGGAAGTGCTAAGTGGATTCCACAGAGGTTGGGGGAAGCCCATCCACAAAGGCCCCACGCCCGGCGGAGGGGGCATCAGACACGGCCCTCCAAGCTCCGCGCCAGGTCTGCACTTTGCAATTGGCTCTTAAGCAGACAGAGACCTCGTCCCTCCCTGGTCCCCACCCCACAACCTTAGTGTGCTGGGGAAATTCATTCATTCAACGGTGTCTGGTTCCCCCTCTCTCTGCAGCTCCCTGCCGCTGAAGGAGAAGCTGCAGGCCCTCCAGTGCCACTTCACCTGGGACTTTGAAATCAGGGACAAGGTGGACGCCGCTCACATCCTCCATACGGTGGCTCTGAGGATTGCCCACACTCCCTACCCGAACCAGGCCGCCTACCTGGCCCTGCAGGCTTATCTCTGCCACCTGCAAGAGCGATATGAGGATGCTCTGCAAAGCCTTAAGAAAGCTGAAGAGTTCCTGGCCAGAGATCACCCAGGTAACGTCCCCCGCCAGGCCCTGGTCATTTACGGGAACTACGCCTGGATCTACTATCACCTGGCCCATTACGACGTGGTGGAGCGTTACCTGGACCAGGTGAGCCAGATCTGCCGCTCCCTGAACAGCCGCTCGCCATACGCAGCTCTGATCCCTGAGGTCCACGCACACAAAGGCTGGTCTCTCCTGGCAACCGGCTTCCGCCACGGCCAACAGGCCACAGAGTGTTTCCAACGGGCATTGGCAGAAGACGAAGCCAATGGGGAATTTCTTGCTGGGTCGGCAATCGCAGCCTTCGCCTCCTGGACCCACTCACGTGATTTTCAATATAAGTTAGAAGCCAAAAAGAAGTTCAGCGCCATTATCCAGGAAGAGCCGCAAAACTATGAAGCTAAGATGTATTTAGCCAAGATCCTTGAGACGTGGGATAGACCCCAGGGAGAAGCCCTGGTCGAAGATGTTGTTCGGAATAGCCGGGACCCCGAGGTCCTGAGAAATGCAGCCAAGTTCTTTCAAGCTGAGTTTCCAGAAAAAGCAATTGCTATTCTAGAGCGAGCAATCTCTCTGGACCCCACTTATCACCTCCCTCACTATGACCTGGGTCGTTGCTACAAACAACAACTGGCGGCGGCCGAGACGGACAGGAGAGAAGAAATCGTAGTAGCGGGTACGGAGGCCTTCAAGATGGCTGTGCAGAAAGATCCCGCCTCTGTGTTTGCAAAGCTGGCGCTAGCTGAAATGTACGGAGAAAAGACACCTGAGTACCAAGAGGAGATTTACCTCAACCTCCTGAGCGAGGTGTCCACCCTCAGCAAGAGGTGCCAGCAGGCCGTCTACCTTGGCTTTGGGGACTTCCTCTTCTACACACGGAAGTCCCTGCCCGAGGCAGCTGAGAAGTACAAAGCCGGTTTTGCCATCGCAGGCAGCATCTGGGAGAAAGAAACACTGAGAAGAAGGCTGCAAGAGGTGGCAGACGAATTCCAGCAGCGCTCCCAGACCACCGAGGCTGCAGCCATACAGCATGTCCTGCAACGGAACACAAGTCCCAACTACAGGAATTACTCCACTCGTGGCCGGAGCTGGAGACTGGAGAGGCAGTGAAAATGGGGGAATCCACCAGCAGCGCGGGACTCCTGCATTTGGAGAGGCCCCCTCGCAGCGCTCCCAGACCACTGAGGCTGCAGCCATACAGCATGTCCTGGAACGGTACGGAAGTCCCTGGTACAAGAAGAAATCCACCCGTGGCCGGAGCAGGAGACTGTCGATGTAGTGAAAATAGAGGAATCCACCAGCAGCGCGGGACTCCTGCATTTGGAGAGGCCCCCTCACACTGCCCCCTGCTCCTCTCCAAGGCCCCACCCTGCTCAGCCTCCTCCCCAGGGCCCCACCCACACTGCCCCCTGCTCCGACCCAAGCTCTGCTCCCTCCCTCCCCGCCCTGCCATTCTGACCTGTCTGCCTACTTCCCCCCTCCCTGTCACTCAGGCCTCAGGGTGGTCCTTGGTGGAGGGGCAGTGCAGGGGAGGCTGTGGGGTCAGAGAAGGAGCCAGTCAGGCCTCGGTGGCAGAGCGCGGAGGGTCCACCGCCCGGGCACCCTTCCAGCAGTAGCAGCCTTGGGACCCTCCCCCACCCCAGTGTGTTCCCTCTGCAACACATCTCCCTGTGCACCCTGGTGAGATCTGCCTCTGGCTCTGTGCACCCTGCCTGCAGCCAGCAACGCGGACAGTTCCCTCACTGATGCAGTACACACACCCCCACTCACATTCCCAGATAGACACACACTCATACTCATTCACACACACACACACATACACAGACTGACACATGCACACACACAGAGACACACACACACAGACTATTTCCAAATAGATTCGAAATAAGCTACGCAATTTGCATATCTTATTTCTAGTTTCGAGTACTGTGGTCCTTGGGGGAGAGGGCAGTGCAGGAGGAGCCATGGGGGGAGACGAGGAGCCAGAGTCGGACTGCAACACATCTCCCTGTGCACACACTCACACTCACACTCATACTCACACTCACACACGAACACACGAACACAGACCCACACACATAAGCAATTTCGAAATACTTTCAAAACAAGCTACATAATTTGCGTTTCTTATTCTGAGTTTCGGGTTTCAGGTGCTGTGTAGACGCACCCCAACAGAGCTACTGATTAGAAGTGTATAAGAGTCCTTAGCGCCTGTCATAACCAGGAGAATTGACCAGCAGCCTCATGGCTAAGGGGCATACCTAGCCAGGTCTATGGTCAGCCGATAGTAATGCAGGAGGGATTTCAAACTGGAACAAAGGAATTTTTATCTTTTCCCTCCTTTGTCTGAGTCAGAACAGTTTCTCCAGGTACTAAGGGAGACAGAAAGACACTTCTGTCCCCAAGAAGGACTTCTTACATGTGTATGTAAGGAAAAGTTTAGCTAGTCCATCAGGTTTTATTGTTTTCTGGTTTGGGAATTTGGAACTGAGGTCTGTGCTATTAACCATGTTTTTTTCTTTTTCTTTGTTTAACAGTGTTTTTTCCTCTTTTGCAATGAAGCTTCCAAACCCAGGGCATTTTGTCTGAGTGTATCAATTTGGTGGCTCTTACCATCTTGCCACCTCAACTATGCTCGCAACTGCAGTTTTCTTTTGATAATAAAAGCTTGTTTTCTCTTGTCTAATTAATCGGTATTGGTTCATTTTTGTGTCCTGGGAAGTCTGTCTGCCTAAGGAGTCAGCTTCCACAGACGGCAGCTTGTTTTCTCTTTTCTTTTTTCAAGCTCTTTGGGGGAAAGGAGCTTGAGGTGCCCTTGAGGTTTTAGGGAGGAAGTTTTCCCAAGTGATCTCTTCCCTGGTTTGCTGGGAGCCCCCGAGTGTTGCGTGGAACAGCTGTAGCCCCTCAGCTCTTTGCTGTAGCTTGGCCCTGGTGCCCCCTTGGTGTGCTTGGTCTGTGCTGCCCCAGCTTCCAGCTCCTCTCCCCTTAGCTCTGCCCCACTGAGGCCCAGCCACCCTCACTGGCCTGTCCACCCTGTCGACGTCCAGCGTTGGCATCTCCCCGCTGGCTCTGCGAGCCCGGTCCTTCTTTCCCTTTGGCCCTCTCCCCTTCATGGACTCTGTGTGGCTGTAGCTGTCAGCTGGGGCCCAGTGCCTGTACCCGTCTGGATACGGGCCAGCGCTATTCCAGCTGCACGTACCAGCGGAGCCTCCATTCGGATAACGTCAGGTCCCCTTCGAGGGCTGCTTGTGTAACCACCACCAGGCGGATTTGAACCTGGGATCTCTGAAGCTGAGTGTAGGCGCCTCTACCCTCTGAGCTAAAAGCCAGCTGGCTCCCAGCCCCTGCTGTAGAGGTCTCTTAATCTTAACTGTTGCTGTGGTCTAGGTACCAGTTGCATTGCTCAGCAACCACACTAGGTGTGTGGGTTACATATGGACCCAGAGGAGACATCAGCGCCCCCCCTTCTCCCTCCTACACTGGGCACAGCAAGCAGGAGGCTCCCGGGGGGGCAGCTTCAAGGCAGAGGGCAGGAGCAGCATGACAGTGCTGGGAGGGGCAACTGAACTGCCAGCGTTTGAGAGCTTCCCGGCCAAACTAGTCAGGATCCCCTGTTAGACGCTCCAGGATCTCCCGGTAGATCCCGATCGACTGGTTGGTGACCACTGGCTTAGGGGCAAGACTCGGTTCCCTCCCCTCCCAGTGATCTGTGACAACCAGCCTTTCCTCTCTCATCTGGCCCACGCCTCTCCTCCTGCTCCCATCTCCACACGGACCCGGGATCCCCACAGCGGGGACGGAGTGAGCTGTTGTGGAAGCATCAGGCCCCTCCAGCGCCGGGAGCCTGAGCCTGCAGAGCTTCAAGGCTCCATCCGGTTCAGCCTGGGACCTGCCCCCCCATGGCTAGCAGCTGCACCTGGCTAAGGCTGGCCCCTGGCCATGGGGCGGGGGGTATGCGAGGCAGGAGGAGGCTTTGCCTTCCCAAACCGCCAGCCTGGCCCCGCCCAGACTCCGCCCCCAGAGCATCTACTGTCACCGTACCAGGGCGGAGCGTTACTGCCCCAAAGCGCCTGCCCTCCCCATGCTCCTGGCCCGGGGAGGCTGCGACCACCCGCCACCCACCCGCCCTAAAGTACTGGGTGGGGGGCTCACATGGGTCTGGGTCCTGAGCGAAAGGGCGGGGCTGGGGGCTTGCCTCCCCCCCCCCACCTTCACCCACCGCTCATGCCCACGGCTGTAGCCAGAGAGGCCAGGAGCAGACACAGAAAGTGGATTTCACCGCAAGGCACCGTGGTCAGTGCTATGAAAGGGCCGTCCAGGGGGGCAGGAAAGAGGAAGCCAGTCAGGCTAACGGGGGAGAAGAGCCCAGCTGGCTGGGGACGATGGCCGAGGCAGAAGGGACACAAACATGGGGAGGGGGAGTGGTGCCCACGCACCAGACTAGCGGGCAGCTGGGAACGGAAGGAGAAAGGCAGGAGACTCGCAGGGGCTCAGTGCTCACCCGGGGGAATCGGGGTTTGCAAGGGGCTGGCCCAGACGGCAGGATGGGGCTGGGCGAGGGATCTGTCAGAACGGACCAGTGTTACCTGTCAGCCCTGTGCTCTTGGGGAGCCGGAGAGTGACACTCATGGAAAACCATCCCCTTCCCCCAGGCCTCTGCTTGAATCAGAGGCAAAGCCATGAAAAGGCCGGGGGAGACCCAGCTAACCCCTCCAGACAAGGGGAGTAGAATTAAGGAGACGCCCCGGCCTCATGTGCATTGACGCTAGAACAGAGAGACATCCCCATTAGATACAGCATCGGGACCAGCTCTTCCAAAGCAGGAACCGCACTGAACTATGGGATACCGAAAGCAGAGACGCACGGCCTGATGGGAAATCTCGGCTCCAGATGCTAATGAACCCAGGCCTGCTCACACCCCAATTAGTCATTATCAGACCAATTCTAGTAACGATCCTATTGACATCCAAATCCTGAAACTGCTTCTTTGCATTGTGAATTCCTTCAAGGAACATCCCCCCTAGCCAGGGGTGCTCAGTCTATTGTCTCACCTCCGTTAACCCTTAAACAAATCCAGTGTCTCTTCGAACCATTGTCCTGTCCCTGTACAAACTCCGACCCTTGCCCCAAGAACAACTGTTCTGATACCTGGATTCAGTTCCATTGAGACTTCTTCATCTCCTGTCTGATCGTGCGGGGGGCTCTGCTCTGCTGGTCTCCTGCCCTCTGGACCCCCGGCTCCCATCAGCATCTGGGAACCCCGCTCAGTGCAAGTGTAACCCACACACCTGATGTGGTTACCATGCAGTGGCACCTAGACCACAGCAAGAGCTAAGATCAAGAGACCTCTACAGGACGAGGTAGGAGGCAGCTGGCTTTTAGCTCAGAGGGTAAAGCAGTGCTCCCCAACCAGTAGAGGCTGCTGGGTGCCAGGGGGCGTGGACGTTCGCCTGCCGGGGGCCAGAGGGGGGGGGGCCCTGCGCG